ATATATGGTCTGTACAGTAGAAAAACCATTATGCCTATGGGATGTCCCCACTTTTCACAAAAACAAACCTGTGTGCAGATGGCCGTTCGAGCAGGACGTGGAACAGGGCAACACAGATGGACTGGGCGACTGCCAAAGTAAGCAGAACCCATTTACTGAGTGCTGGACGCTCCTCAGACACAGCTACACACACATACACACACACACGCAGACTCTCTCACACACACACACACACACACACAGACTCACACACACACACGCTCTCACACACACACACGCTCTCACACACACACACGCTCTCACACACACACACGCTCTCACACACACACACGCTCTCACACACACACACGCTCTCACACACACACACGCTCTCACACACACACACGCTCTCACACACACACACGCTCTCACACACACACACGCTCTCACACACACACACGCTCTCACACACACACACGCTCTCACACACACACACGCTCTCACACACACACACGCTCTCACACACACACACGCTCTCACACACACACACGCTCTCACACACACACACGCTCTCACACACACACACGCTCTCACACACACACACGCTCTCACACACACACACGCTCTCACACACACACACGCTCTCACACACACACACGCTCTCACACACACACACGCTCTCACACACACACACGCTCTCACACACACACACGCTCTCACACACACACACGCTCTCACACACACACACGCTCTCACACACACACACGCTCTCACACACACACACGCTCTCACACACACACACGCTCTCACACACACACACGCTCTCACACACACACACACACACACACACACACACTCGTCAAAAGACTCGTTCACACCAGGAACCACAGCGACACCAGCGGACGATTTTTGTCATTGTCAAGTTTTGTCATTGTCAGCGAAGTTTTGTGATCTGACGCTTTAAATGCTTAATTTTCCACTTCAGTAGGAATTAGCACAATTTAGAATTTTGCATGACGGTGAAAAACTTCGGCGCACAGATTGCTGACGTGTATCTGCTGCTTCAAACAACAGAAATCGTTGTTTATTATTAGTGTGCTGTCGTTTAGTCGTCTGTTGCTTTAAATGCTCAAGATCTTTAAAATCTGTGGGTTCTGATTGGCTGTCAATGCTTTTATCATTCATGAGTGATTCCTGTGATATCGTTCAGGAGGATCTTCCTCGGTGTCGTTATCGTTACAGCTGTAGTGTGGACTTGATTGTGATTTTTTGATGGCTAAATCTTTATAGTGATCATCATTGGTGTGAACGAGTCTTCAGTCGTCTTAGACGCACTCAAGTTATTTCTGAACTCTGCTATGATGTTGTTAAATGTTCTGCTGTCGCAGTTTTAAATTAATTCAGTAATAAATTATCTGTGTGCGTGTGAGAGAATCACATTTCAGCCAATTAACACGTTTTTCATTCGTCTCCAGATTCGTTCGTGGCTCTCAATGGTGAGTACAGCTCTTCTTCTCTCTCTCTCTCATCGTTATCTGACTCAGTTGGCGAATGTTTCATTTCTCTGACTGCGTTTTCTTGTAGAGCATCAGCGCAGGCAGCAGGGTGTGAGTGATATTACCCAGAATGCTGCACGCGGTCAGTGTCTCCAGTGTTTCCCGTGTGTAGATGTAGTTAGAGACGCTCTGACCTTTCATTCCCTAATTGGATGGATCTCTGCGCTTCATAGAGCAAAGGATTGTGGGTTAGAGACAGTCGAATGCAAATGACTGTTTACAGGGAATAAACACTCAGGGCTTCTCCCAATATTTAAATTATAAATAAATGTTAAATATTTAATATTATAAATATTATTTATAAATATAAAATATTAATCTTCCTTCATTTAATTTTGGTTTGTTTTTATTTCAAGATACATATTTTTTTTATTATTTTTAAGATTTTAAGAGTTAAAAATCTTTTAATAACAATTTCTTAATTTAAATTATATTATTTATATAATATATATAAAATAAAATGCATAGATTGTAAAAATACAACATTTCATCCTTTTAAATTTTTTATTTTTATTTTTATTTATTTTTATTTTAAGATTAATTTGATACTTTTATTGAATTAATTAGCTTTTCATCGACCCTCAAGAACCCCACTTTAGAAAACCCTGTACTAGAGTAAACTAGCTGTTTGTTAGTGTTACTGCGGTGTTTAACTGTAGGTATCAGTATTTGTTCATCGGATTGATTTGGGTTGGTTTAGTATTAGTAATCATTGCAACAATTGGTTTAATTTCACATAATTCAATTTCAGGTCAGCTAATCGTATGTGAGTTTAATGTAATGGAGTTTATTCTGTGATTATGAGCAGCTTACTCTGTTAATTACATGGATAATCAGCAAATCAATCAGTGGACGTGAGATATTGATTAGAGTGTGAATGATGTGAGAGATGTGTGTGTTGTGTCTCAGAGAGATGTTGATGTGTGCTGTGCTCCAGCAGGCCTCCTCACCACCGTCCCTCCTCCGGCCCCCAGGGGCCCACTGCTCCGGGGCCGCATGGTCAAGCCGAAGGAGGCAGAGCCGCCGGGTGATCAGAGTGACCCGTATGTGTCCACTCCTTCAGACACGCAGCAGGAGAGCGCCGGTAATCCAGTGTTTCCCGTGTGTAGATGTAGTTAGAGACGCTCTGACCTTTCATTCCCTAATTGGATGGATCTCTGCGCTTCATAGAGCAAAGGATTGTGGGTTAGAGACAGTCGAATGCAAATGACTGTTTACAGGGAATAAACACTCAGGGCTTCTCCCAAGACCAGCAGAAATTATTCATGAAATACAATCAGGTTAAAAAAACACACACACATGATTGACAGCCCTCCCCCGGCAGCCAGAGTGAATCTGATTGGCTGAAGCAGCCAGAGTCGATCTGATTGGCCGAAGCAGCCAGAGTCGATCTGATTGGCTGAAGCAGCCAGACTCGATCTGATTGGCTGAAGCAGCGATTGTGACCTACATATCACATGCGCTGGTGTTTATTGGTGATATTTTCTCCTGAGCTTCATTAGCGTCTGTGTGTCTGTCTCCACTTCATTTATTCTGTGTTTGATGTTGTCTTCTCTCTGTTTCCTTCATAAACCGTGTCTGTTTAGCTTTATAAGCACATATTCCTACGTCTGGACTGGTATGTGTGTCATCGTCCTCGCCGGCTCTTCCTCTGGCTGTGGAAAATGAATTATAAAATAGAGCTGTCACACTAATCTCGCGGCCCGTGGCGCTTTCTTAAATAAATCATTTTAATGACTGCGGCTGGGAGATGCTCGACCGGCCGACGGACTATAAACAACGAAAGAGACACAGAAAGAGAGTTCATCTGTGCATTAACACCAGTTAAACTAGTCCAGAGATTCAACCAAACCCCTCTGGCCTGAAAGATTTACCCTGAGATTTGAGTTAATATTTCAAGAAATTAACATATTTGCATGTTGTAGATGTCAGTATTGTTGTATTGTTTGAACAACAATCTATATAGCTATAACGATATATTAATATTAATTGTAATATTATATACAATTTTATATAGAGATATTGATTAGAGTGTGAATGATGTGAGAGATGTGTGTGTTGTGTCTCAGAGAGATGTTGATGTGTGCTGTGCTCCAGCAGGCCTCCTCACCACCGTCCCTCCTCCGGCCCCCAGGGGCCCGCTGCTCCGGGGCCGCATGGTCAAGCCGAAGGAGGCCGTTCCCTCAGAGACGCAGCAGGAGAGCGCCGGTAAGCCTGGGAACGATCGTCCTGTGGAGGAAACCAGCTGCTTCCAGCGTCTTTAGCATCAGCACACGAGCCTGAGCTCCGTACGGCGCGAGACACACGACACTGCGTCACACCAAACCGTCACAGATAGTCCAGAGATTCAGTTCAGTGCTGCTCAGTATCAATGCAAACTCAATCTAATGACATTTTTACATTTACACTGATGCATTTATTCAAAGCAGCTTACTTTGCATTATTCAAATCAAACCCGTGACCTTGGTGTCGGGTTACTGTTTGAGAAATTGCAAATATGCTCTATTTTGATCAATATTTTAAATTACAGCATCGGTCTCATTTGAGCGCGTCGCATCTGTGTTTCACATGTAACTGAACGTTAATGTAGTCGCCGTGCATAAAGAGCGTGTAAAATCTGGACGCTCACTCGAACTAAAGCAATAAGACCCAAGAAGCCGTGGTTTACAGTGAATTTATAACAGTGCCTTAAACCCCCTTAGCTGTTATAAATTCACTGTAAACCACGGCTTCACGGGGGTTATTGCTTTTATAAAACGGTTATTCCATATACGTAGTAAGGTTTCACAAAATAAAACAGAGCAAATAAAGTGTAATGATATTAATAAAAACAGTATTCTTCCACCAAACAATGTAGCTCCTCAGAAACAGTTGTGGTTGCTACAAAGTGGTTGCCGAGCAACACACAAACGTAAACAAAGGTGTATGTTACTTTGTAGAGTAATTTACAACAGCTTCGAACGCGGCTCAGCCAATCAGAATCAAGCACCGGAACTATCTGCTTTATAAGCAGAATTTAAGCAGTGTTATTTTAGTATCAATGAGATATTATTGTAGTTTTGAATAAAGGTTTGAATTCGTTTTTTTTTTGTTTGTTTTTTTTATTTTAATATCTGCATGGTTTAAATATATAGACATATATATGTCTATATAGTTTTTATTCTTTTGTATTTCAGTTTTAGTTATTTTAGTCCATCAAGTTAAACTCGTTTCTTTGAGAACTAGTTGAATTAAAATAAGTTAAATTTTTTAATATTTTATTTCAGTTAATATTTATTTAATTTCAAGTGACACATTTTTTATTTTTTATTTTTTACGGTTTTAATTTTTTTTGTTAACTCTAATTAGCCTGTATTTAACATAATCTGGTTTACAGTATGAGCGTTTATCGATCGATGTGCGTGATCGAGTGTTACAGACGACAGCAGCGCTGAGCTCATTAGCAAACAGCAGCGTTTAATTGACATTGATTATCAATAACTCAGCGGTTAATCTCCTGACGTCCGTGTTCGGGAATCTCTCTGTATGTGTGCTTTAGCACTGGAAGCGATGGATGAATGAAGGGAACGGTGCGTCTGACGGTCGCTGGAAGCAGTTCACGTGTTCAACACACAATGCTGGCAGAAACGCATCACTGCTGACGTCTGAGCCTCGGTTACAGCGGTTACCGCGGTACTGAACCGAGGCTCACACATCACATCAGCTTCTTCTCAAAGGCTTTATTCTTCATTTGATGATTGAATATGGGTTCTGCTTGAGCTGTGTGATTATATTGTTTGCTTTATGATGCATGGCTTTTCTGTTCACTGCTTTTGATTTTTTCAGACTTTTGTGGCAAACGCTCTTCCTCACACGGCCAGATATTTCCTTTCTGCTTAACATATTAACAAGTTAATGAATATTCATGCAGGCTCCTCCCCCTCCCTCCCTGCTGTGTGTCAGTGGATGTGCTGTGAACATAATTCACCACTACATCAACAAGAAATAGTCAAGTCAACTGTGTTTCTGTGGAAAATAAAAGGAAAACAAAAGAATCAATGATGGAAACTTCATTAAATATGAGAATTTCAGCTCTACAGAAGACAACAGTGTCATTATTCACATCAATTCAGATCTCTGTTGATTCAGATTTGGTTCAATAACCAAAAATTAATTAATTATGAAACAAATTCAATTTCAGCTGTAAAGACAGTAGTTTCATTATTCAGATCAATTCAGTTCAGTGTTGATTTAGTTCAACTGTCAAAATGTGCAAAATTCATCATGAAACACAAAAATAGAAAAATGTTTTGTTTAAAGAAAATGAAGCCAGTTTTTTCAAAGATTTTGACATTTTAGCCCAAATCCTTATTACTGTAATGCAAAAATCACAATCTTATTAATTTAATATATTATTAAATTACATTAATTTACTTATTTAAATAAAATATATGTATTATTTAAATGATAAAGTATTTATGTATCATAATTGTAGTATTTACACTGCTTATTAATGTTGTAAATAGACTATATAGACTATAATAAATTATTAATTAAATTATATAAATGCATTTATTTAATGTGAAAGTATATTTATTATTGCATTACTGTAATGCAAAAATCACAATCTAATTAAGATATTAATTTAATATATTATTAAATAATATTAATTTATTAATGTGAAAATATATTTATTATTTAAATAGTACAGTATTTATACATCATAGTAGTAGTATTTACACTGCCTATTAATCCTGTAACTAGACTTCCAAAACAGTTTCTATTTTTTTTCTTCTCTCATTTGATTTTGTGGTTTCATGATTTACTGATGTTTTGGATGGAGATGTCCGGTTGAGCTAGTGTTCACGGTACATTTGAAGCCGTGTGAGTGAGTGAGTGAGTGTGTGTGTGTGTGTGTGTGTGT